CTCATCGTTACCAAGAATATCTCTGGCCAGAAAAGAGTTATTGAGAAGTTCCCGTCTTTATCTTGTGGCATGTATTGGACAAGAATTAGTGCAATTGAGGCACATTCTATCGTAAACTAAAAGGTTTCTAATTCTAATACTTTTGTACTTTGGCACCTCCATATCGCACCAAGATGAGTCCCCAAAGAAGATTAGGAATATATATTGGGTTTGAATCGCCCTCCATTATTCGCTACCTCGAAACATTAACGGGAGATTTATTCACTGCTCGATTTGCAGATTGTCGATTCGATGAGGCATTTTTTCCAAAATTAGGGGGAGAAATCGGTGAAATCAAATGGGAAATTTTGTGGGAAAATCCATCATTGTCTCATCTTGATCCACGTGCCTCTATTTGTGAAAAAGATGTGCAAAAGATTATCCATTTGCAGAAAATATCAAATCAAATGCCAGATGCATTTTCGGATCTAAAAAGGATGACGAAATCACATATCCATGCAGAGAATGTTCCAATCCGTATTGATGTCCCTGTTGGAAAATCTTCTACTGTCATATCTAATGAGTCAAAAGCACGCCTAAAGCGTGGCAGACCATTGGGTTCTAAGGATCGAAATCCTAGAAAAAGGAAAATAAATTATCAAGATGACACTACGAAAGAGTCTCATAAAGAAACCCATGATTTAACCAATCCTGAGATTCATGAGGATATCAATGAGCCTGAGACTCAAGAAAATAAGGAACTATCAATAAATCTAATAGATATTGAGACAAATTTGAATCGATTGAATATAGTGGTGAATTATGTATTTGCATACAATATTGCATCTATCATTATGCAAGATAATGAGGATCTTGAACCTCAATATATTGGAGAATGTCGACAAAGACGTGATTGGCCAAAATGGCAAGAAGCAATCCAATCTGAGTTGGATTCACTTGCGAAACGTGAAGTTTTTGGGTCTGTAGTCCAAACACCTAATGGTGTTAAACCTGTTAGCTATAAATGGGTCTTTGTACGTAAAAGGAGTGAGAAAAATGAGGTACAAAGATATAAGGCACGCCTTGTTACACATGGATTTTCACAAAGGCCTGGTGTCGATTATGGAGAGACGTATTCTCCTTTTATGGATGCTATAACGTTCTGTTATCTCATTAGTCTTGCTGTCCATGAAAAGCTTGACAAGCATTTAATGGATGTGGTTACAACCTACCTTTACGGCTCACTTGATAATGAGATATACATGAAAATTCTAGAGAGATTTAAAATGCCCGACGTATATAATTCAAAGTCCAGGAAAATATTTTCAATTAAATTGCAAAGATCTTTGTATGGTCTAATGCAATCAGGAAGAATGTGGTATAACCGCCTTAGAGAATATTTATTAAAGGAATGTTATATAAATGATTCAATTTGTCCATGTATTTTTATAAAGAAAACAACATCGGAGTTTGTTGTACTTGCCGTATATGTTGATGACATAAACCTTATTGGAACTCCTACAGAACTCCAAAAGATAATTGATTATTTAAAGAAGGAATTCGAGATGAAAGATCTCGGAAAGACAAAATTATTTCTCGGTTTGCAAATTGAACATTTGGCAAACGGGATTTTTGTTCATCAATCTGCCTACATAGAAAAGGTATTGAAACGGTTTTACATGGATGGAGCACATCTATTAAGTACTCCGATGGTTGTTCGATCACTTGATGTGAATAAGGACCCGTTCCGATCTCAAAAAAAGAATGAAGAGTTTCTTGGTCCTGAAGTACCATATCTTAGTGCAATTAGTGCACTAATGTATCTTTCTAACACTATAAGGCCTGACATAACTTTTTCAGTTAATGTCTTAGCAAGATATAGCTCTGCTCTTACAAGGAGACATTGGAATGGAATCAAGCAAATATTACGGTATCTAAAAGGGACTATCGATATAGGCTTATTTTATGGTAATGATTGCAATCCCTATCTTGCTGGTTATGCCGATGATGGGTATTTATCTGACCCGCACAAGGCTAGATCTCAAACATGCTATGTGTTTACATGTGGAGGCACTGCAATATCTTGGCGATCGACTAAGCAATCAATCGTGGCTACTTCATCTAATCATGCTGAGATAATTGCTATTCATGAAGCAAGTCGAGAATGTGTATGGTTGAAGTCTGTAATACACCTTATTCAAGACAAATGTGGTTTGAAGTGTGACAAACTACCCATAATTTTGTATGAAGATAATGCAGCATGCATAGCTCAATTGAAGGGATGATTCATAAAAGGAGATGGAACACATCACATTTCACCAAAGTTATTTTTCACACACAATCTTCAAAAGAATAGTGATATCAATGTGCGACAGATCCGTTCAAGTGATAATATGGCTGATTTGTTCACCAAATCTCTACCGACGTCAACCTTCAAGAAACTAGTGTACAAGATTGGGATGCGAAGGCTCAAGGATATGAATTGATGATCTCATCAGGGGGAGTTAATACGTGGTATACTCATTTTCCCTTATAAGGTTTTGTCCCACTGAGTTTTCCTTGCAAGGTTTTTAATGAGGCAACCAAAAAGCGTATTTCTAAACATGTGTACTCTTTTTCCTTCACTGAGATTTTTTTTTTCTCTAATAAGGTTTTAACGATGCACATTATCTATGGACATCCAAGGGGGAGTATTATAGGAAATATCAAATTATGGTGGATATCTACTCTTCCTCCATGATATTCATCTTAAATGATTAATGACATATTCAATGACATATTTTCTTCACTTTTCATGCCTATATAAAGGCCTTGTAATAGAATTTCTCCTCTCTTTCTCTCTATATCTCTTAGCTTGTTTTTCCTTGTTCCATATTGTTACTTTGAGTTATATTTTATAACAAAAAATTTAAAAAAATAAATAAAAATTCACATGATTAACAATTAGGTAGATGCGTCACTAACTTGGTCCTTTTGGCAGTAGGGAACCTAATAATTTTTTAATTTGTTTAATTTTTTCCAAAATTTTCAACAGGTCGCCGCACCAATAGGCGACCTACTCCATACACTTTTTAAATAAAAAAATTGGCAAAAACTCTGCTTGGCAAACGAGTTGATTATTCAGGACGTTCTGTACAAAACTTACCCACTGAACTATGGACCAAATCTCTGTTACACATTTTTAAGGACGAAAATTTTCTTACGCACCCAATCTTTCTGGAGTGTGCTTAAGACACACTACTATTACTACATGACATACGCGTGCATAATCAAAACAATAAAGAATGTGAACACTTAAGAACAAAAATTTCAATCCTTGTTTAATTGTCACGTGTCAAAATTTTAATTATTTTCTTTATTTTTTAAATTATTTGGCTCCCAGAACCCCACCCCCTCGCTTCTTTTCTTCTTCCTCATATATTGTCCCCCTTTTCCAACTTCTTTTACACATAAATTTTACTCACATTTTCTACAATTGCTCCATCAGCTTGCCACCAAATATGATCCCGTTGGGACATCACAAAATAACCTCTTAGCATCTCATCTCTATTTCAATATCAGATTAAGTTTCACATTCGACTGACATAATACCTACATTTTTTAACTTTAACTAAGATTTGAGTTTTACTTCAATAATAAATTAATTAATGCTCTTGGAAGTAATCTACAATAAAGTTTAAACTTGTAATGTATCTAAAATTTGGTGGTTTGCTAGTCGGAGAAGTTGACAGCGAATTGGGCAGCCATAATATCTTTTCTAATTTTGAGTTTTGGGTCCTGAGTTTCTTGTGTTAGATGTGAAATTAAAGTCAAAAATTTGAAACTAAATCTATTTGGGCTACTAAGTTTTGGTTTGAAATCGGAAGGGGTGGTTCCGATATTATCGACGATAATGGAGAGCGAGGGAGAACACAAAGAAATGGAAAGAAAGGTGTAATTATAATTTTCTTGTCGGATATGGAAGATAGATGAATGTGGAAAAGGGTGGCAGTGAAGGTATCTAATTTCATGGTTATGGGGTGTTCGGCGAGATGAGTTGAAAAGGGGTAATTTGCGGAGAGGAAGAGATGAAATGGAAAAGATGGTTATGGGGTGTAATTGTAATTTTATGTGATTTATTTTTTTAATAAAAATAATGACACGTATCATGATTTTATTGGTGTGTGACATTGCACTTGTTTGAAAAAACTGGTCAAAAAAAGGTGGTGTGTCTTAGGCACATGCCGTAAAGGTTGAGTGTAAGATAATTTTCGTCCGCAAAAAGTGTATCACAGCAGGGATTTGATCAATAGTTTAAGAGTAACTTATTATTTTGACTAAAAAATAATTGCAAGCCATGATCAATAATTAGAGGCGTCACTAATAGTTATTTTTGTGGGCTACCAGTTTGTAATAGACAAGATGTGGCAATTATTATTTTATTATGACTAATAAATGTTGATGTTGTGGCTCTAATTTGCACACTTCATCTCTGATTTTAGCTGAAGTTTCCAGTAAATAGCTGAGTGCGTTTTAGATCCATACAATTATACCATTCTGGAATAGGCAAAAAGATAGGATTTTGATAATCCACATTTGTCAAAAGTTGGGGAACATCCATCTATCTTGTCTGTCTGTTCTACCCACTTCGATCATTATTCTCGAAATTACTTCTAATTCAAAATACACATCGCTTGAAATTTTGATTGGAAGCATTATAATAACAAAATCTACTACATGCATTTTATTTTAACCTCCTAATATATAGTTTGTTTCTATATAGGCAAATTAAATTCTTGCTTATCTGAGAAAATGAAAAGAATATGTACCTAACTTAAGCGACGTCATATTGTCAATTGTAGCTACAAAATTTTCGCCGAGGAGATTCAAAAAAATAAAAAAAGTAAACACGTGAAGACGCTGAGGGGATTCAACATCTAATATATATTCAACCAACCTAGTTCCGCCACTGCTTAGAGACAAACTCTGTCCAGTCTGATTGATAAGGCAACAATTTGAAACATCAAAGCTGAGAAACAGTATTAATGTTAAAGCAGAGTAGAACAGAGCAATATGGTTAACAAGCCTACATCTCCTGTGCACCTACTAAACAACCACCTAAGAACAACAAAAACCACCTTAATATTTTGATCTTATGTTTTTGTTATATAAACTTTGTACATTGTTAGTCACTAACTGATAAAGATTATGACAATAAACACATAATCTAAACACCATCCCACTTTCTTGATTTTGGCTCCTGTGCAGTTGAAAGAGAAGTAAACCACATTTCTTGAAAAAAGCTGCTTCCTTATTTGCCATCCTGCACAATGAAAAGGTACAACTATGAATTTTACAGTTCACATGATAATAGTTATTTCCCAGAAGCCTTACCCCTACCTTGTAGTGGGGGTACTGTTTACGATAAATCCTCGGCTCACGAAAAACATAGTCACAATATTGTTGAAAAGCCAGAATAAAAATCCAACAACAATAAAAGCAGAGCTATACCAATTATCTCATAGTGCTGAACCAGGACAACTAACTTGCTCCACAAACTCTCTAACTTGCAATCAAATCCTCCAGTTCAAGAACAATATCACTGTAATGTTTATCATTTTCTGCTCCATTTTCATATATCATATCATCTTCCATTAGCTTTTCCCACAATATATAGTTCTCAGATGACATGTCTTGGCCATTCATTTTCTGTTCATTCGCAGGACTGTTTGATTCATCAGAAGAGAAAAGTGTTTGTATTTCAGACTTGATTGTTGTGAACTCCTCTTGAACTTGAAGACTATGTCCATCACACTTATTGTCACATGGAGTATTAGCCAATCTCCTCTTTTTTGTGACTGTGCCATTGTCTAAAGTCTTTCTCTGTTTAATCTTCTCAATCAAATGTTGAACAAAGAGTGGATTCTTGAATGCTTTTGCCATAAAGATTACCATATACTTTTGCCTAGTCTCACTATTCTGTAACCTCTCTTTAACAGTAGCTAAGTAGCTTTCTGTGTTCTCTTGTTGTTGTTTTAGACTGTGAATTTCCATTTTCAATGTGTTTTGATCCTTTCTCAGTTTCTCTAACTCAGCCTCAACCCCATCCTTATTGCAAGAACCAAGCCAAGATTGTGCTGATCCTGATCCTAATCCTTGATGAGTATACTGCTGCTTTCTCCTCTTTATATTTACCAGCAAATGCTTCTTCCCTTTCTGAAACCCCTCATTTGCAAATTCCCATCTGTCTGAATCAATCTTCCTGAAACGCTACAAACCCCACAAAACAAAATATACTTAATTACACAATAACCCATAATCAAATAGAAATGGATTTATGTTTATATACTTTAACACGAAAAAAAAAAAAGGACAATCCGGTGCACAAGTCATCCAACTTTCACGCATAGTCCGGGGAAGGGCACTAATAAGGGATGCAAGCTATCACCATTTTTTATTCAAATTACCTATTAATGCTTATACTGACTACTTCTTTTTTTTTCCACTATAAGTGAAATTTAACATGTGATAGCAACTCAATTACCATTTTTATCAAATTACCTATTAATGCTTATCAAGAAACTATAATGACCATAAGTGACGTAAATATATTATAAGCTCTAAGTGCAAAGAATTTAAAACTTAACCAAATACATGCGCACTCAATCACTACTTCAACAACAAACAACAACAACAACCAAAAAAAACTTAATCCCACAAGTGCGTTCCAGAGAGGATAGTATGTAAACACACTTTACCGACTATGTAATCCCACACAGTGGCAGAGCCACATGCACCCAAGGGGTGTCATTCGACATTCATTCGTCGGAAAATTATAGTATAGCTGGGTAATATTTTTTAATATATAACCCCTTAACTTCTTGGTGAGTTTATTTCTTTATATTTTGACTCATTGACTTCTTGGTGAGTTTATTTCTTTATATTTTGACTCTATTTAATGAAAATTCTGGCTCCGCTACTTATCATGCAACTCAATCACTACCACTTCACTAAAGAAATTTGAATATTCATTCCTTAAAAACACTAAATTTAACTTTCAAAACTGAACTCACCATATTTCAGAATTAGCACCAGCAAATACATTAATTAAAGGCTAAGTATTCATTTCCCAGCTAATTTTGTAGTAATAGAAATTAAAGCTAAGTATTCAAAAAAACAATTGTAGTAATAGAAAACAAGTAGTAAGATATATTAGGGAAACTTACGTAGGTATTAAGCTGGCGAATGAAGCTAGAGAAGTTATTGTGCTTAAAATGTTTAGGCAAAAGATCAATAGAGAACTTATGAGGATCCCAAACAACAAAGCTGGTTTTGGTATTACTCCAAGAGATTATAGAGTCAGTATTAGGATCATCCACCATTTCAAATGTTTTCTTCAAAAAAGGCGGTGGACCCACATCACGTAACCCTTCCAATGGCTTTGGCAGTAGTGAGCTACTAAATTCACTATTGCCAATAATGTCTTCTTCATCAAGAAATAGTACTGGCTCTTCTTTCACTGTTAGTAGTCCGCCATTGATGACTTCATCTGTTACCATTTTCTCCTGTTCCATCTCTAATGTTCAAAACCAGAACTCCTTTGTTTTTAAACTCTGATTTGGGTTCAAATTTTTGCAGATAAAATTAAGGGAACTCACTGAACATGGGAATTGGGTTTTCTGAGAGAGAATATTTTTTTGCAGACGAAAAAAATGGTGAGACTTACAGTACAGGGCAAGTATAAATTGTATAGAAGGGGTGGGGGGTAGGGGCATGGGGTAGGATGCGGGGGAGGGCGGTGACGGTGCACTGTGTGTGTGTGTGTGTGTGATTTAGAAAGCAAATAAGGAAAAGCGATGTGTAACGAACCGTTTCGGAGCATGTTGCCATTTGTATTTTTACTTCATTTACCCCACGTCATTCAGTCCCTCAATTTTCAAGAAACTTTTGTTTGACCCATAACTTTATTAGTTTTGTCCATTTAGGTCTTACTAACTTATAAATGATGCAATTGAATTTTGTGATATATAACCTCTATTTAACGACCACTGTGTAGGTGAAACTCATCAACTTTGATTTCTCATTTAGGATTTAATACAGTTCGTTAACCAAAGTTTCTTTAAGTATAAAAATGATACTTATTTATAGTTAAGTGTTTATTCACACGTACTTAGTCGATATTTGAGTAAAGATTTATTTTATCGTTTGGATCAAATTTTTATACACATCACATTAAGCTATTTATAAAATACTATTACATATAATATAATTGTATGTATTTCAGCAAATTTTTTACAAGGCATATCGTAATTTGTAATCTTATGATTTATATTTTGAATTTTGTGTGAGCTTAAATCTTTTGCAGTTATCAAATATTTGGTTAGTAAACATATGAGCTATTAGTTACACATGGAATATGTGCAAGAAAACAAGACCTTTTACATGTTAGAGTAAGAAGTATGCATTATATGATTAAAGACATTAATCTATAGTTTTAAAAATAACGGATTGAATAATGGCTTTACTTTATATAAATAGTTAAAGACTTTGTTTGCTAGGGAAAAACTTAAGCGTCGAGATTCAATTCAAATGACAAATATCTCACCCAAGAACCTCAATCTTAAACACTTCTTGATCGACATTGATATTTTCAACTCTCAATTTGCTTTTAAAGTTTGAGTGTCTATTTGAATGTTTTTCTTGTTTAGGGCCCTAGGGAGGAAAGGACCAAACAAGCCAAAGGCAAGCTTTATCCGTTCTTTGACTTTAAGTTGAAAATATTCAGAGGGATAAATACAAACACAAAGCAGAGTCAGGTGTCTGTGGTAGCAGCAAGCAACAGATGTCATATGTCGTTTGGCTGGGCGTACATGGGTCGCGTTGGTTCGAGTTTTTTAATTATCAAACTAAATTAATGATATTAATTTTTAAATTTATAAATCAAATCAAACCAATAAAATTGAGTTTTTCAATCTCGATTTTTCTCGATTTTTTTGGGTTTTCTCCCGGTAAAGTCTTCATATCATAAAATATGTAATTTGTGCTCCAAATATTTCTTAAATCCTAGTAAAATACAACTATATAATGTGTTTTCCAAGAAACTAATACAATAATATGAGATAAGTCATTGCATTATACTAAAATATTCAATAACAAAAATAAATAATAAAATTACATAAAACAAATATTGCTAATTAATAAGCCATAATAAAAATTAACATAATCTAAAAATACTATATAGGTCATGCTAAAATAAGTATAGCTAATGAGTACTAATATTAATTACATAACTAAGCACTAAAAAAAAGATAAACTAAGTTATGTATTTTCATTATAAACCAATATAAAACTAAAATAATTATCTAACACTATCGTCATTCCTAGTATTGAATTGAATTTCTTTTGTTAGCATTAGTATTGATTTGAACTTTATTTGAGTTACTACATTTATGAGCTAAAAAATTTATTTATCATTCAAGAATGTTAAGTCTAAACTTGAAATAATAAGTTTAAAGATAAAACTGTGAAAAAATTTAAAAAATATTTATAAATTACATTACAATAAATATTTATATGTATAAAATATTTTTAAAAATTATATAAATGTACTATCGGGTTAGTTTGGTTTATGTTTGACTTTTTTTTAATTAAAACCAAACCAAACCAATTATGGTCGGGCTTTATTATCCAATACCAAATCAAATCAAATCAAACCAAACCATATCAAATTTTTTTTACCGGTTTGACTCAGATTATCGGTTTGGTGCGATTTATCTATTTTCTTTGTACACCTCTACCATTTGGTTTACACTTTTTGAACATTTTATTGTGATAATTTGAGATGTATAAAAGGAAGTCTCCGTGTTATGATTTATGTCACGGATCTTGTGAAAATCATCCACTAATACTTGCGTTAGGGTAGTTGTCTACATCAAATCCCTCGAGTTGCAGTCTCTTTTCGAATTCTATGTGAATATAGGATACTTTGCACACCATTCTGTAAAAAAAAAAACGAGATGTATACGGGAGAAGAGGTAGAAGTTCATATACAGTTGGGCTTAAAATGTTCATTAAGTAAGTACGTTTATTAATAATGTATTTATTAATATATAGGGGTGTCAAATTGGCGGGTTGAGCCGATTTTGAGGGGGTCAAAATGGGTTGAGTCTGACCCGTCCAAAAGTTACTCGGATTAAGATGGGTTGGGTCAAGATAGACTAAAATTTGGGTCATAACCCAACCCGCCCAACTCTTATCAATCTTTAGTTAATATATGTTGTTTTCTTATGAATTGTATAATTACTAAATAAGACTTTTTCTTTTTTGTTATGGTTATATATAATATATCAAATAAAAAAATAAATTTATTTCTAAGATATTTTGGCAAAATTACTTCTGGATCAATTTGGACTAAAAATCAACCAATCTTTAAAAAGATTGAGATGCATTTGATCAAAATATGTTGAGTTCAATAAATAAACGGGTCAATAACCAACCCAACCTTAAACAGGTTAAGCGAGTCATTTGGGATTGAGCCAAACTTGAAAATTCTATTAACACGTTAAATCGTCTTACTAAAACTTAAAACCAATAAAATTAAAATTTTAATTTAGCCTCTAACTAGTTTAGAGGACCCACTTCGAAAAAGTATTGTTAGGTGTGATAAAATGCGTGGCACTTTTGTATGAATGGCACGAGAGGAAGATAGTGCGACTCTGAAATGCTTATCGAATAGTGGCATATTTCACTTCCCACCCTCCTCTATCGTTATCTCAAATAATAAAAACCTCCATTTTTTATTTTTTGGGACGTCAGTCGTGTACTTTTTTGTTACCTTTATTACTTCCTCAACCCTCGTTTATACAACACCCTTTTACTAAAAAAATTCAAAAAATCAGTAAATCACATTTCAAGGGAAACGAGTTTGTTTCTTTATCTTCTTCTATTTAAATATTACTACTATGATTTTATTTGTTAGAGTTTAAATTCGTAATGTACCTTAAATTCACATAATACATAATGCGCTTTTACTATTAAAATCAAATGACCCTCGAATGTTTTTGACCTTTTAAAAAGAAACAGATTATTGATGAAATATAGTAGTATTCAAGTTCCAAAGAATGGCCCTCCAATAAAAATTGCAGCCAGAAGGAAAAAAAAGAAAGAAAGAAGAGAAACTCTTATCCTAAGTGAAAATAGCACGGGCTAATCAGTTTCGTAACGGTAATTAAAAAACAGCAAGCATTTGCAAAGTTTTTAAAAATAGTCATTATTTTGTTGCAACACAAAAAGTTCCAGCATAATATACTGGAGATTGATACACTGTGTATAAACTTCAAGCATATTATGCTGGGACTCCACCACACGGAAGATTATAACATAATATACTAGATCACATGTGTATGGACTTTCATCATATTATGCTGGAACTCCAATATATATTATAGTGAAACTCCAGTATATTATGCTAGAATATTTTTTAGATTTTGAATAGTATTTTCATTCAGATTTATCTTTACATAAAAATATTTCAGATAATTCAAAGTGGCTAAATTTAGATTACTTTTGAAATTGCATATATTTTTTAATTAACACTTATAAATATAATTATTTTTGAATTTCACCCTTACCCTGCTACCCTTTTGGTGTAGTCATCAACCTACCCAAGAGAAAGATAAATTAGAGGAGGAAAAAAAAAAGAAAAGTAAAGAGGATAAGGGATAGGGAGGACAAATTTTTCACAATTTGCATTCTCCGCTAACAAGCCCCGATTACAAAAACTCAGCCGTCGGAACCCTGCTATTGCCGCCACTAGAGAGCGAAGAAGAGAAAAATGGTGGTAAGATTGCGGTTGTCGAGGTTTGGATGCAAAAACAAACCTTGTTACAGAGTAATGGCGGCGGATAGTAGATCTCCCCGAGATGGCAAACACTTGGAAGTCCTCGGTTACTACAATCCTCTCCCAGGTAACCCTACCTTGTTCAATTTTAAGCAGTAGCCTACCTTGTTCTTCAGTAGAAAGCTGTTCTTCTCTCCTTTTGACGTATGTGGAGATTTTGCTGTTGTCATGGGAAGTTAATTTATGGAGTATCATTTTGCTTATTATTTGTTATGAGCTCTTAAACATTGGTCATTTCACCTTATTTTGAATTAATCCATGTGATAATTGTCATTTTTCAGCTTGATTTTCTCTTTTAACTAATTGTTATATGGGTTCTTATCCTTATGTAGTCTAATAGAAGTTTTATTGATGGAAACCTCAGTTGTTGAATCTCAACTTATGAATTTTTAGTTATCAAAGTACTGTATTTAATTTAGGCTGGTTGGGGGCATATAGTACTTCATAAAAATATTCAGAAGGAATATAATGTTTTATAGTCACTGATGAATATACAACAACAACAATAACCCAGTAAAATACGGGTTTGGGGAGGGTAATTTGTACGCAGACCTTACCCCTATCCCGATAGGCACTGATGAATATCTTGTACAATTTTCATTTGTACAGGTCAAGATGGTGGCAAACGGATGGGTCTTAATTTTGACAGAGTAAAGTAAGTCTATTTCCGGAACATGTTTTTTTGTTTGTTTTGGTTATGATTCCTAACTAAGCAAGTTCCATATATTAATTTAGAGCTTTTTGAATTGCATTTTCTGCTCTCTTGTTAAAGTTCAGATTGGATGGATAATTAATGGGTTGAATAGAAAGTAGAAACTAGTCAATCATATATTGATAAATATTTAGTTCATATATCGTACTTTTTCTTTTTGTTGTCTGACAAAGTATACCGTAAGACTACTAGAAAGCAATATGACTACTTGAAGCTAATGCTAGTTGCATATGCAAATTGTGGGAGCTCAACATTGGTAGCTTAGCAATTTTGGTTAAGCTTGTTTGATCTACAGTATCATTGAAATTTTTTTAATGGCCATGAATGCGAATGGCTAACACTGGTTTATAGATGCACAATCAAGAATAACATTGTAGTAACGTAAAACAGATTTTGCTAATTTGTTATCTTAATTTTTCTGTTCATCTGGTCGGTAGTCCTTCAAATTGAATATAGTCGCCTATGAACTCGCTGAATACGAAGGACAAAGCAGATTCCTATTAGATACATGAAGCAGAAACGAACATGAACAAATTTTTCTCATGAGCTACCCACCTACCGTTAAAGAACGAGCAAGTGTGGGCAGGGATCTGACTGAGTGTAGCAATTGGAAGTGTTTGGGGAATTTCTAAGGTGACTATTGCAGGTATATATGAGGAAGACGTGTTACAACATTTTAATGAAAGAAGTAAATCAGTTTTTTATCGGTCCCTGGAAGCAAATCTGGAAGCCGAAAGCTCCTATGAAAGTTAGTTGTTTTGAATGGTTGGTGGCTAAGAAGGCCTGTTTAACTCAGGACAACTTACAAAGAAGGGGATTCCAATTAGTTAACAGGTGCTACATGTGTAAAGAGGAGACAGAAACTATCAATCATCTATTCTTACACTGCAGAGCTGCCACACCATTGTGGCAATTATTTTTGAACATTTTGGGAATTAAATGGGTGATGCCAAGCACTACTGCTGAGTTACTGTCATGCTGGAATAGAAAAAGAATGTCAAAGCAAATGAAGAAGGATTGGAATACAATACCAGCGGCTATTTGGTGGTGCATATGGAAAGAAAGGAATAGGAGATGCTTTGAAGGACAGGAGAATTCATTCTTGAAGATCAAATAATACTGCATTTTGTTGATACCTTTTTGGTGTAAACAGGATTGGATAGATGATAGTGAAACCCTACTAGAATTCAGACAGTCTTTTGTATAGACACAGAGGGTTTTCTTTTTTTGTTATTTTCTGGGATGTAACCACAGCACTCTCTTGGTGCTGATTTTTTGATATCTATAATACCTTACCATTTCAAAAAAAAGGTCTATATGAGGAAGAAATTTAAGATGTTTGGGTAATTTCTAGGTTGACTATTGCAGATATACATGAGGAAGCAACCAAGCTGTTTGAATTGAGATATTGAGGAAATTGTATAGAAAAGATGCAGCTGGGTGGTGGACCAATGTAGACTATTATGGGAAAAAACTAGGAAAACGACGCAATTGAGATACATTTGACTATACGAGCATATTTAATTTTAGTGATAAGAAGCATTATACCACTGTAAAACGGCCACTTCTTTTTGGGGTTCCCTTTGGATTTTGTATACTTAGTTGTATATGGGTTTCCTTCCGTTAGATGCTTCATATGACAAGTTATACTTATAAAAGAAAATTATAATTATGAATACTTGGAGCTATAATTTTTATATGAGATGCTTAAATGTTTACCTTTTGTTGAGAGTCTGACAAGTTGAGTGCTGCCTCACTAAGATTGAAATGCGTCCTGAAAAAACAAAACTCATCTGGGTAAAGGGGTGAACAATATGCTAACTCATCCGGGAGGGTTTATTTTCTTTAAGTTTTTTGAGAATGGTAACATAAAATATAAAAGAATAAATTTATTTTCTTTAAGTTTTAAGAATGATGTTGTCCATTCACACATAATGACGAGCATAAATGGTTCTCTGCTGCACTGTATACTTTGACTGCCATAATCATTTAGAGCTTGCTTGACTGCAGATAGAGTGAAACATAACTGAGTGTTGTGTTTGGTATAATTAAAGATCTTCGCTTGATTGTTCTGTTACTGTGGACATGGATCTATAAACATGATGCGAGGGTTCATTTGTTCAGTGTGCTGGGTGTAAGCAGTAAGTTAATATGTGTTTGTGGACTTGGTTGGGGGAATTTGGAGTGTAGCTGTGATTTTGATAGGCTAATTATCAGCAACACATAAAGACAGATTAAGAAATGATACTTGTTAGTTTGTATCTCCTTTTTAACCGTTTTATTTTACTCCAGGATAGAGCAGGGAGTTAACTTATAGCTGATATTTGTAGGACCTGTTTCTTATTGTAGAAATTACAGTAGCAGTAGCGTGGTGCTGCTGTTTTATAAACTTTCTTATTTTTGCTACTGTTTCTCTCTTTGGATGAGATTGCCATCACTCAAGTTTATTCTTGCAAATGTCCAAAAGGAAAATAGTGCTCAAATGGTTGTATTCTGACTTTGCTTTTAGTTGCTGCAAGACCTACGACTTGTTGTTTCTTATACTCTCTGATCATCAGATAGCTTTTAGGATCATACAATCATGTATTGCTTACCTGATCTTTGCGGGTCTGCAGATATTGGTTATCTGTTGGTGCACAGCCGTCAGAACCGGTTGAACGTCTTCTTTTCCGAGCAGGTGTATTACCTCCTCCGCCTATGCTAGCTATGGGACAAAAAGGAGGTCCACGGGACACTCGTCCAGTTCATCCTATGACTGGACGTGTCATGGCACCGGAAAGTGTCAAAATTGCTGAACCAAAAGTTGGTTCTGAAGTTGATGGAGATGACAAAGCGTAGAACCCCCACTAGTTATATTTTATACAACTTCAGCTGGAAGAGCTAATTTTTATTCCGATAGTGACCTTTTGGTATGTGATAATTACAGAGCTAATATCTGTTTGTTGCTCTGGATTGAAACTTGAAATCCAAGGATGTATCATCTTTAAAGATGCTGTTGTCAGTTGTCTCTAGAAATTATGTGATCATGTATCATCCTTTGCTTTCCCATTTTTCTTCCTGATGGTAATAGATGGATAATGTAGGTAAAAGTTGCAGAATATTTTCCAAAAGCATGGATGTTTTTGGAGTTAAAAATCATACATGATACTTTTTGTCCCCTGCTTGCGCTGAGTGTACTCAATTGAGTTAAACCATTATATTTGTTAGTTAGATACAGCTTTAAATGTCTGGCACTAGTATAATGGCAAGTATTTTGCTTTCCGGAGAATTTTCTTAATAAGTACTGTTGTAAAGTGGTATTTATGTTGCTGGATAAAGAAATTAGATGATGATGTTAACAGGTTCAGAAGGGAGCAAACTGCATATAGATGGTTGTCAACTCTGAACAATGAGGGGCGGGCGTGTTATGTATCGAACCGGGGGATTTTTTCAATTTTAAAGAAGAAAAATATCTGGACAAGTAGGAAAAAAGGGAACACAAGATGATGAAACTGCTGGCTTTTGATTATTAAGAGGAAAAAAAGATATAAATAATGGGTTGGGAGGGTTTGTAATCGAACAGTTATGCCTACGTTTTGATGTTGCGTATAAATAAACACTTTTCAATGAGAATAGTCAAATAGAAGCAGGTGTAATTTTAACTTAAATCATTTAATGGTGGTGGTGTTTGGTTCAAATTTCAAAATTTTGAAAAAAGAGTTTCAAACAAGAAGTATTTAAATTTTTTGAAGCAAGTGCCAATATCGACTCTTAATTTTGTTGTTAATCTCGAGAACCAAATATTGAGCAATTAAAGTTTTGAGTATTTAGGGTGATTATGTCATAAAAATAGTAGAAGGTAAGGAGATTTTGAGTTTACTAGATGAAGCTAAACTAAGAAAAGGTAAACAATCTCGTGTGGTGTTTTTATTCCAAGATATTTATGTACAAACCATATGACAATGTCATAAATTTAGATACATCTTTATTAAAAAGTCTTCTGAGCTGATAACGTATGAAACTTAAACTCGTAATAATGTAGGAGTTATGCTTTTGCATGCTCGTCTTAATTTGTCTAACAAAATCACATTTGATTTCTTGTGTTTTAATGTCTTAAAAAGTCATTTTGGATCGCACTTAAATTATGCTGATTATTAAATGAGTATTTTTTTTAAAAATGTTACATAATTAAAATCCTTTTCTAAACATAAATAAAAAAGCAAATTATTAGGAGAAAAACAAAGAAAGAAAAAGGAAAATCAATTAGTATATTCGCATTCAATATTATAGTCTACCAAACACAGCCTTAAAAGAGAGTCAATATATTGGACCCAGTAAGCTGCTAGGTTTTCTGACAGAGATAGAGAAGAGCTTAAATTTGGGCGCTTAGCCATTTCTCTCATCTCTTTCCCCAATTTTCCTCCCCTGTTTTTAGGGTTATTCCCTTTGGTTGCTTCTTCTGATTTCTTGCTTCAGCAAATCCAGAATGAGCAACACCAAAGATAACTTCAACGTTGCCGATCTCGCAGCTGGTAAATACCTTATCTACTTAAACAGAATCCTATAGTCTTAATTCTTTGTTTCTCTTCATTTTTGTTGTATTGGGTTTGAATTTCTCTTAACTAAATATCTTTTTTTGTAGCTTTGAATGCTGATGACAGTGACGACCTTGTTAATGTTCTCAAAGTGAGTTTTTTATTCATCTTTTCCGTTCGTTGTTTGTTTTTGCTTTATGGAGATTATTACTATGCTCTGAACTGGCTGTGATATTCGCGGTTTGTTTTTGTAGAATAAGCTTCAGGGCCTAACTGGGAAGCACTCAAACGTGCTAGAGAATTTATCTCCCAATGTTAGAAAACGAGTTGAGGTTCTGAGGGAGATTCAGGCAAGTGGTATTCTTATCCAATGTTGTTTAAATATGTTCTTTCGTGGCACCGTGCCGTTTTTAGCAAATCATTTTGTATTTCAATAAAGTTCTCTAGTTTTTGCCTATGTTATGTGCCTCTTGCCAAACATGGTTCTTGTTAATGATTGTGATAACTGTTATCCTGTTAGATATTTAAATTCATTTATATGGTTCAAAAAGAGATTTCGGAGCTTGTTTGTTTTTCGCAAGCATTAACAAAAGGTTGTATGAGTTCAATCCATCTGTTTAATTGTGGAGAGGTTGATAAAAAATGAAAAGACTGGGGCTTTCTCAAACTTTGCCTCTGTTCCCCAATCTTTTATTTGTATGAGGCTCTTTGTCATTTGGTCTACTTTCGTGGTTTTCCTCTTTGGTTTAGTTTGGTTCTTGAAGATTATCACGTCTTAAGTTGTATTGATGAAGTTTTAGGTTGGTATGTAAGAAATTTTGATATTCAAATGATGGGAAGTTGATTGTACTAAATGAAAACACATATTGTAGATGCTAAGTTGCAGCAGGGATCGTGCCCATAAGTTTCTTTTACATTGTTTTACATTCTGACTGACCTGTACTAGAAAAGGCAGGGGTTGGGCGGGTTGGATTATGGGAGTGGGAGTCCAAGCGGCATTGATTATAGAACTTTTAAAGATTGTATAGATTCACTGGATGTTAATGGTTCAATGGACCACATTTTTTGGCTTCTGATAGTAAGCATTTTCTCAGTAGAAGTGAACATGTTTACTCCTTTTTGCCATAGGAACCTGAGCCTGTCTAATGGATGTGTAGGTTTTCGGCTTAGGTGTGTGGTAATTATCCCCTCCACCATCTGTTTTTCTAAATGGCGGTTGCATTGATTAATGTAGTGCCATTCACAATACTATCTGCCTCGACTCATCTGGTACATTATGCACTAGTTTCCAAATTATGTTCAAACTTATGAGAGAGGTGAGCTAAGATCTTCTTCCAAGTAAAGTAATGCATCAGGATTCGATGTTGCACCTTCTCCCATTCTTATCTAGCTGTTGAGTTCTTCAATAAAATGTTCTTTCCTTCAATATCAATTATCAAGATTAGGTCACATGATGAGCAAATAAAAAATCAGAGACTTACATAGGTAATTGGAATAATTCCACCAGTTTCACTAGGAATGGCCTTATTAGTGCTGGTTGAACACGCTTCATCGGACTACATAAAAGTTTCTGGCCTTTCAGAAAGCCCCTCTCTCTACAAAATGTAGTTTTCAAGGAGAACAGAGAAAATAGGGTGGGACCAGAATCTGCAACTCATGGTGGTCCTTGTTTTAAAAGAAAATGCAACCGCGGGTGGTCAGCAGTGTCGCCTGTTTTTTTTTGCACAATACCTGATTAACAGGGTATCCTGTGTGTTAGATGCCTAATTGTGTTTATGTTGCTTTTTAATTAACTTTAGTATCTAGATACTCTCCTGTTGATGTTGAATCGTTGTCATCTTGTTAAACACAGACTCAACATGATGAATTGGAAGCAAAATTTTTTGAGGAGAGAGCAGCCCTTGAAGCCAAGTACCAGAAGCAGTATCAGCCACTATATACAAAGGTCTGCCATGTTGCTTCGTTTACCTCTTTGCATCCGTCGATACAGTTGCCTTGATATAACTGAACTTAAGTAAAAAAACATTCGCAGAGATCTGAAATTGTTAATGGAGTTGTTGAAGTTGATGGCGAGGCAACTCAGACTGCTGTAGCAGATGAGGAAGAGGATAAAGACGCAGTGGGTATGTTGATTATCAATTTTCCTTGATTGTTGCTTTATGACCATCAGTATTGTTGACAAATAGCTTTTGTCTCTTCTCTTTTATATAGAGAAAGGAGTTCCTGATTTCTGGATCACTGCAATGAAGAATAATGAAGTGTTAGCTGAAGAGGTTAGTTGATGATAAATCCTCTATTCAGGTTCCTTATATTTACTTTTATAACTGGCCAGAAAATGGCACTAATCTGGTCTATTCTATGAGTTACAGATTACTGAGCGAGATGAAGGAGCTCTCAAATTTCTCAAGGATATAAAGTGGTCGAGGATTGAAAATCCAAAGGGTTTTAAGCTTGAATTTTTCTTTGAGACTAATCCCTACTTCACAAACACTGTGCTGACCAAGACATATCACATGATTGATGAAGATGAACCAATTTTGGAGAAGGCCATAGGGTATGTCACCACCTCATAATCAGCAAGCAAGGTTTCTTCATCTCATCGTTGTGATTATTTTCCCACAATGCCTTCTTATCTCTCTGAATTTTGTAGGACCGAGATTGAATGGTATCCAGGTAAATGCTTGACACAAAAGATTCTGAAGAAGAAGCCAAAGAAGGGGTCAAAGAACACCAAACCTATCACTAAAACAGAACAATGTGAAAGTTTCTTCAACTTCTTTAGTCCACCTCAAGTACCAGATGACGAAGAAGATATTGACGAAGATGCTGTATGAATTGCTCTAGTGGTTCCATTACACAAAACACACACATGTACAATTTAAAGTGGTTTGTAACTCATTTTCTTTTCTTGTATAGGCTGAAGAACTTCAAAATTTGATGGAACAAGACTATGATATTGGGTAAAAGCCAAGCTGAACTAATCAATTTGCTCAAGCACATGGGTGTGATTTTCTTGGATGTGGATGTTGCAAATTCAGAATATAAACAAACTATAATGTCAACTATATGTTCGTTTTAGTTGTTAAAGATCCATATGCTTATGATTTATGCAGGTCAACTATCCGAGATAAGATTATTCCACATGCAGTTTCATGGTTTACTGGGGAAGCTGCTCAGGATGAAGATTACATTGACTTAGAAGATGATGAGGATGAAGATGATGAAGATGAGGATGAAGAGGATGAGGAAGAGGAGGATGAAGATGATGATGATGAGGACGAGGATGAACATGTTACAAAGACCAAGAAGAAGGTAATTGAATTGTTAGTAACACAAATATCATTGTTAGTTGAGATGTCCATCAGTGCTAACCATTTCCCTCTCTTTGTTTCAATCATCATTGCAGTCATCTGCTGGTCGCAAGGTATAATCCATTTCTTTTTATGTTTGCTGAAGTTTACTTCATCTCCTTTATAAACCTCTGACATGCTTACTTATTCCTCGACTACACAGAGGAGTGGAGGAGCACCTGCAGCTGACGGTCAACCCGGTGAGAGACCACCTGAGTGCAAGCAACAGTAGCCATTTGCTTGGAAGCTGTTTCAAAATTATGGTCTTGAAAAGTTGGATGGTGTAGTGAAGA